AGAAAAAAAAAAAAAAAAAACACCCACAAAAGCAACTTCTAATTTCTCTGTTCTCTGTACCACCTCTTGGGTGGCTTACCTTGGGAAGATAATCTGAACTCATGTCATTTTCTTGACTGTCACCTTAAATGAATGTGGATTCTTAAGTACTAATTTAAGCACCCATCCCCTGCTTTTCCCAAGAAAATTACAAATCTATAACTTACATCCTCCATGTATTCAGGTTCTGATGCAGAAGCATCCCAGCGGTTATTCAGGATGAAAATGTTTGGTTTAGAAAGTTTTTCGTTCACTTTGTGGAAAAACTGTTTCTCCTAAAATAGAGAGATACAAATATGGATACACACACGAAGAAAACATACAGGACGGCTCTCAAAATTGCACTAATTTTAAAGCTCTCGTATAGTGGAAGAACTTTGGGGAACGGCTAAGTTATTCATTATCCTGGCAAAGAATACATCTTTAGTTTCTTTCTTCTGCAGAACTACTTCTAGGGGGCCAAAAGAATAACTATTTAATCATTTTAAGAAATGATGCCTGAAATGGCATTTTATGTTCTCTTTTTATTTTATTTTGCTTCCTGTCTTTCAGATTCTAAGCCTTAGACAAGCCACCTGGGAGCTTCTGAACATTTCAGAAATAAAGATTGCAGAGTTTTTAATTGATTTGCAGATCCAAGCAGTCATAAATTCTGGCTAGGATCCAAGTGCAGAGAATACACTAACACAATCTCCTACTTCATTCACACTGATCATTCAACAGCAGGCATCTGATCGAAGATACAGTCATGCTGACCTTCAATTTACATTCTGTCCCAATGAATTTTAAAACCTCTGATGTTTTGCTTTGTAAAGATTATACTTTCCAACTGAAGTTTAAAGAACTTCGGTATTGCTTTTCCACTATGTAAAATCTTCCAAAGAAGCTTAACATTAGAAATAATCAGAAATGAAAAGAAAATACTATAAAAGATAAAACAGAAAGAAGCAACAAACAGGAGTCTGTGAAGAGCTACTGTCTACCCGGGTTCACACTCAAAGTTCACACTCAAGGTTGTTTTTTTTTTCAGAAGACAAGAAATGTTTTTAGACAAAGAATCTGCAGTCCAATGCACACCTTCTTAAGACTTAAGCTTCAATGAATACAACGGAATTAATTCCCAGGTGAACATTTGTTGATCAGCAAAATCAATAAATCTGTTTTCTGCTACAGTCGAGATGCTCCCACACAACTCAGAAGGAGAAGAATTCAGTCACCGATGTGGTATAGACAGAAAAAGCTTAACAAGGAGGAAGAGCATTAAAAACCAAAGAAGTTAGAGCACTCCCCCACCCAAAATAAAAATCCATGTAACATCAAACATTTAGTGGAAAATATTCTTCAAATGTCATGAGAAAAAGGTAATAATATTTTAACTCAAGCTTTCCCTAATCTGGACCGTACTTAATGCCTACTCACAGAACCATTTATTATGCTAGCTTAGAAGAGTGATGGGTACAGTCCAGCAGCAAAGCAGATAAAAGTCCTTGATGACAGAGATATTTTAGGCCTACAGTTGTACTGTTGGACCAGTTGCCTCAGACTTACAGGGTTCTTATGACTATTGAAACAAGATGTACCTTCCACTTTGGGAAGAGGAAGGTGTGACAACTAAGACAAATGAAGGGCTTACTTAAAGATCAAGACTTACTGTATTCATGAGGGTTGACTCCGAATTAGCAACTAAAACGAAAACATCAGCATCCAGGCAGAATTTGTCAATCCAGCTGTCAAGCTCTGTGGTGACATCAGTGCCCGGACTATGAAATGAGGGGAGAGAGTTAAAAAAAAAAAGGAATTTGAATAGATGGAGAAATATGGAAACATATCACACAGACCATACCAGGCAATCATATCTCAGCTTAGTAAGGTAAATTTTGAATGTGCCTTTTGGCTGTACATGTAGCCCTTTTGGGCTTCTCTGTTGCCACAAGACAGCAAAAAAGTCAATACTTTCATTCATTACAATTTCTTCTCTTTAGATGCTATGATTAAAAGTTTCTGAACAAGCCAGGATGTTAAGCTAAAATCTAGAGTTGGCTTAATCGCCTAGTCTTCAGAGATTGGTTCGGACAAAGTGGGAAGCTACAGTGAAGACAAAATTGGCATCTACCAAAGGATTTATTCATACCTTGACTCATTTTATATATACAATGAAATAAGTTCAGTAATCTATCCAAAATGAAAAGGTGGAGTTGCTAATATATGCATAAAAACCACTCACTTTTGTTTGTGCCATCTTTCTCATTGTATAAAATGTTTGCCATCTGGACCTGAACTCCTACATCTTTATCAATCTCTGATACACTCTTTATAACAACAACTTTGTAGTTTTAGTTACTTTCTACTTAAAAGAAAAACATCAGGAATTCAAGAACCTGCAACTTAGTTCAAGCTAAAGGCCTCATTTGGCTTATGAATGGCTAAGACAAAAACTGAAATTGATAAGATGTCCTGTGTGTGTGCTGTCACCAAGTCATCTTTTGCAACCTGCCTTAGCATTTCAGAAGGAAAGAACATGTCAGGCCCAGCCCAAGAACAACAACGAAGCAGTCCAGTCTAGTACAGTTCCTTTATTTGCTTACACCTTATAGACAGAATCTTGCCAAACTAAATCTATACTATAGCAACTA